CTGTGCCCAGCAGTGCGCCCACCTGTGCCACCCAGCAGTGTCACCACCTGTGCCCAGAAGTGCCACCTACCTGTGCCGAGTAGTGCCACCCACCTGTGCCCACCAGTGCCCATCAGTGCAGCCCAGCAGTGCTGCCAGTCAGTGCCCAGCGGTTGTGCCAGTCAGTGCCCAGCAGTGCCGCCAGTCAGTGCCACCTATCAGTGCTGTCTATCAGTACCCATTATCAGTGTCGCCTATCAGTGCCGCATATCAGTGCCACCTATCCGTGACACCTCATTAGTGCTGCCTATCCGTGCTGCCTATCCGTGCTACCTCATTAGTGCTGCCTATCAGTGCCCTTCAGTGCTGCCTATCAGTGCCCATCAGTGCTGCCTCATCAATGCACATCAGAGAAGGAGAAAAATTACCTGTTTGAAAAATTTTATAATAGAAACAAAGAAACTTTTTTTTTTTTTCAAATTTTTTTTGCATTTTTTTTGCTTATAGCACAAAAAGTAAAGTGCCCAGCAGCGATTAAATACCACCAAAAGAAAGCTCTATTAGTGAGAAAAAAAATTATAAAAAATTTCATATGGGTACAATCTTGCATGACCGCGCAATTGTCATCTAAAGTGCGACAGCACTGAAAGCTGAAAATTGGCCTGGTAAATAAGGGGGTATAAGTGCCCGGTAGGCAAGTGGTTAAAGCTATTGTTGACTTAAAGATAAGCTTTTATGAGAAGGGAAGAATCTACAGCTTGCTCATCAACATGCAAGTTTATGCTGGTATCTTGCCAAAAAAAAAAAAAAAAAAAAAAGCATATCCCGAAAGGCTGGATGATGTCTGCAGGGCTTACTGTCATCTGAACTCTGTAGCCTGATGTAGTATTTGTGATCTCACTAACCGCAGACCTTGACAGAATGAGTCCAGTGACTCACAGACAAAAGAGGCTATTTAAAGGATTAGTTCAGCTTTACCAAAAAATCTGCCTATGCAGGTAAGTGGTTTAGATACAAACAAGCTGTGCAGCTTTGACCAAATTTAAATAATGCCTTTGCTATAGATGTAGGCCATTTACATATCTCCCGAAGCCAGGCTGAAAAACTTCCAGAGGTGGCATCATCCAATCCTGCTTTGTTGCTAGGAGGTTACTGAGGCACCTCCAGCCAGTTTGAACCCCCTTGCACTTTCTCTCCCATTGCAGTAGCTCTGAGCTCAGTGATGCTGCAATAGATGGTGGACCACACATGTACGGGGGGTTTGAGAGCTCGTTCCTGTGATAGTGGGGGTGCGCAGTAAGGTCTAGGAGTGACCTAGAAACATCCTAGCAACAAGAAAGGACAAGATGATGCCATCTGAATGTGTTTTTTGGCCAAGCTTCGAGAGGTATGTAAACAGCCTACACCTATAGTGAGCGCATTAGCAAACTTTAGTCACAGCTGCGCAGTTTGGTTTTTCATCTACAGGCTCCCCTTACCTGCATAGGCAATATTTTTGGCAAAGATGAATTAACCCTTTAAAGCAGGGGTGTAAAACTGGCGGCCCTTCAGCTGTTGCGAAACTACAAGTCTCATCATGCCTCTGCCTTTGGGAGTCATGCTTGTACAGTTGCAAGAAAAAGTATGTGAACCCTTTGGGATTACGTGGAGTTTTGCATGAATTGGGCATAAAATGTGCTCTGAACGTCATCTAAGTCACAACAATAGAAGAACACAGTCTGCTGAACATAATACTACACAAACATTAGATGTTGCCATGGTTTAATTGCACATAACATGTAAACATTCACAGTGCAGGGAGGAAAAAGTATGTGAAGCCCTAGTTTAATGACTTCTCCCAGAGCTAATTGGAGCCAGGAGTGAGCCAACCTTGACTCCAATCAGTGTGATGATATTGGATATGTTGCTGACAGCTGTCCTGCCCTTAAAAAACACACACCGGTTTTGGGTTTACTGGTTTCAAGAAGCACTGTCTGATGTGAACCATGTCTCGCAGAAAAGAGCTCTCAGAAGACCTACGATCAAGAATTGTTGACTTGCATGAAGCTGGAAAGGGTTACAAAAGTATCTCCAAAAGCCTTGATGTTCATGTGTCCACAATAAGACAGACTGTCTACAAATGGAGAAAGTTTAGCACTGTTGCTACTCTCCCTAGGCTTGGTCGTCCTGTAAAAATGACTGCAAGAGCACAGCGCAGAATGCTGCATGAGGTAAAGAAGAATCCCAGAGTGTCAGCTAAAGACCTACAGAAATCTCTGGCACATGCTAACATTTTTGTTGACACATCTACAATAAGGAAAACATTAAACAAGAATGGAGTACATTCGGAGGACACCACGGAGGAAGCCATTGTTGTCCAAAAAGAATATTGCAGCACGTTTGAAGTTTGCAAAAGAGCACCTGGATGTTCCACAGCACTACTGGCAAAATATACTGTGGACAGATGAAACCAAGATTGAGTTGTTTGGGAAGAACACACAACACTATGTGTGGAGAAAAAAAAGGCACAGCACACCAACATCAAAACCTCATCCCCACTGTAAAACATGGTGGAGGGAGCATCATGGTTTGCGGCTGCTTTGCTGCCTCAGGGCCTGGACGGATTGTTGTCATTGATGGGAAAATGAATTCCAGAGTTTATCAAGACATTTTGCAGGAAAACGTACGACCATCTGTCCGCCAACTGAAGCTCCGCAGAGGATGGGTGATGCAACAGGACAATGACCCAAAGCATACAAGTAATTCAACAAAACAATGGCTGCAACAGCACAGAATATGCCTTCTGGAGTGGCCCAGTCAGAGTCCTGACCTCAACCCAATTGAAATGCTGTGGCATGACCTTAAGAGAGCGATTCACACCAGACATCCCAAGAATATTGCTACACTGAAACAGTTTTGTGAAGAGGAGTGGTCCAAAATTACTCCAGATCTTTGTGCAGGTCTGATCTGCAACTACAGGAAACGTTTGGTTGAGGTTATTGCTGCCAAAGGAGGGTCAACCAGTTATTAAGTCCAAAGGTTCACATACTTTTTCCTCCCTGCACTGTGAATGTTTACATGTTATGTGCAATTAAACCATGGCAACATCTAATGTTTGTGTAGTATTATGTTCAGCAGATTGTGTTCTTCTATTGTTGTGACTTAGATGACATTCAGAGCACATTTTATGCCCAATTCATGCAAAACTCCATGTAATCCCAAGGGGTTCACATACTTTTTCTTGCAACTGTAACTGTCAATCTTGCAATGCCTCATGGGACTTGTAGTTTGGCAACAGCTGGAGGGCCGCCAGTTTGACACCCGTGCTTTAAAGTAAAAATAAACCCAATCACTAAGGGCCCATTATGCTTTTTGAATGCAAAAATCATTTTGAATTTATGCGGTTTTGAAGCCAAAGGCTTGCCACACCACCAATATTGATTTGATTTATTTTCCTGCCATAAAAGGTCCTTGATCAGGTGCTTCTTGTTATAGAGTATATATAATGCTATGTCCCTGTCTCACCATTGAGCTCCTGCGCTGCCACATGGGCTTCTGATGGCAATTATAAGCAGCCATTTTATCTTTTATTATCTATCACTAGCAGAAAACCTGCCCTGAGAAATGTAAATGCATGCAAGAAAGCATTCAAAGAGGCTGCAAGAAATCAGCAGTACTGAGAAGCAACAAAGTTTAAAAAAAATTAAAGCGGTATTTTATTTTATTTAAAAAGGAATAAACGTTTTTCACATAATGTTTTAGCTAATGAAATGTCATTTAGTAACCTTATTTTAAACATTGATTTTTAAAACACAAGCAGGGAAAAAAAAACATTAGCATGAAACCGTGGCAATTTAAGAAAGCTGATTGTATCTCCCTAAAACAGAGACAGTAATCTAAATAAACTCAGTCCTCACCGTTAAAAACCTCTTTATTAAAAAAAAACAAACAATATTCCCTAAGTAAAAGCTACACAAAAGTTCACATTTTATTTACAGGGTCCTTGGTTAGGACACACCTTAGACTTTATGGATTACTATGAACGTTGTTGGGTAGTGATGCAACAAAATGAATATTCTGGTGCCGAAACCAAAACTGAAAATTCAAAATGCACGTGGCAAAAAAAACAAAAAAACAAAACCGAAATACGCAGTTTTTAAAAATGAATATATATTTTTTGAAAAAAAATACACTTTGATTAAAAAAACAATATATACCCCAATTGTTTTGTAAAGTATGTAAGAGGATGTTACAGCGAGTAAATAGATACCCAACATGTCACGCTTTAAAATTGCGCACACTCGTGGAATGGCATGAAACTGCGGTACTTAAAAATCTCCATGGATGATGCTTTAAAAATTTCTACAGGTTAGCAGTGTAAAGTTACAGAGGAGGTCTAGTGCAAGAATTATTGCTCTTGCTCCGACGTTCATGGCCATACCTCATGTGTGTGGTTTGAACACCATTTACATATGTGGGCATGGCCTACGTATGCGTTCATCACTATGTGCGCATGGGGGGACAGGGGCATTTTAAACTTTAAAAAAAAAATTAATGCATGCATCCCTTGTGATAGGAATAATTAGTGACAGGTCCTCTTTATGGAGAGATATGGTGTCAATAAGACCCCACATCTCTCCTCTGCAATGTAAAGCATTAGATCAAAAAAAGCATTGATCTAGTGCTTAAAAAAAAAAAAAAATGGCCGGAACTGGAAGTAAGTGACATCGTTCCGGTCCTCCAAGGGCATAGAGGTATGTGGCAGCCATCTTTCCTTCACCCATCTCTATGGCCAGTGTCGGGATTGATGATTTCTCAGGTAGGGCTGAACTACCGAGCAGCGGCCGGGCGACGGTGGACAGGAGAGGTGGGCAGATGGGAGGGGCAGGGTTTTTTCAGCACCTGTATCTGTGCTTTTTTTTCATTTCGGCCTACAGCGAAAAGGGGAAACGTTTCGGCCACCGGAATTTCGGTGCATCCCTACTGTTGTGTATAAGGAGTGACTTTTCTCTACTTCAAACAGACCATGATACTTGACTTGTCTACAGCTGATAAGATTGCTGCTCCCGTACTAAGAGATAGAGTTTCATACAACCCTTCGCTGAGGGACACAGCTCCTTCCACATTTCTGAGCTTTCAATGGTGAGCAGATCCTGTAAATGAATCACAAATTATTACTATACAACTGCATCAGCAACACAGTATGACTACAATCTCTTTAAACCTTTTCAGACAAAGTGATCTGCACTAGTAAAAAGTCCATTAATATTCACACAAAAAAAAAACCAAACAAACATACATACACACTGCTCAAAAAAATTAAAGGAATATATATATATATATATATATATATATATATATATATATATATATATATATATATATATATATATATCTCATGTGATATAAAATTGTGGTAAATATTTTTGGTTCTTTTGACACCAGCTTGTTATTGTTAAAATAATGTTATTTCACATAATAATTTATATATGTTGTGTGGTTGGAGTCATGGAAGATATGTTATTACATACAGTATTTCTATTCTTTTTTTGTTGAACATAAATAGTTCTAAAATGGTTGTCTCTTGGAATGTACAAAGGATGGGGGTGCCACGAAATGGAATGCAATTTCAACTTTTCTAAACAATACTAGCTTGGTAACATTTGTTTGCAAGAAACATGTTATCGTAGATACAGTTGGGTATCTATAATGGTCTAATTACACTCAGGGTATATATTCTTGCTATTCGTCATATACATGTGCTGTTTGTATACTTATACACAGGCTGGTTCAAAGAAAAAAAAAAATATGTGTTGCATTTGTTGCAGCAGCTTAAAATGGTTGTAAAAGCTCAAGGTTTTTCACATTTATGCATTCTATGCACGAAGGTACAAAACCTTCTGTGTGCAGCAGCCCCCCCAATACTTACCTGAGCCCCATCTCAATCAGCCATGTGCACGATAGCAGCAGCTCTCTGGGGATTCTTTCTCAATGACTGAGACATCAGCGGGAGCCATGTGCTACTGTCAATAACAACCAGTGAGCCAAAGGAGGAGAGAGTGGGGCCAAGCTTCGCTCCGTGTGAATGGACATGCCAAGCCTGCTCAGGTGCCCCCATAGTAAGTTGTTTGCTATGGGGGTACTCTGCAGGAGGGAGGGGCCAGGAGCGCCCGCAGGGGACCCAAGAAGGGACATATCAGGACTGCTTTGTGCAAAACCACTGCAGACAGCAGGTAAATATGACATATTTGTTATTTGAGAAAAAAAATATCTGCCTTTAATATCAGCGGCCATCTGCATACATAGGAGCCATGGAAAATAAAATGGGCATAGTAGTCCTTTCTACTTCTTATATAGTAGATACATTCTATTGACTCCATATCAATTTATATGTCTGTAAAACAGAGATGAACAACTATTTAGAGCATATAACCTTGACAGTTTTGGGCTTGGGAGATTAATGACTTTCCATTTACTTTGGAAGAGCTGTAAAAGAAAATCCTGGAAATGCTTCCTAATAAGGCCCTGGGGGTTGGGAAGGGGGAGAAGATGGTTTCCCAGCAGACGTAAACAAGACTTATAAATAAATTCTCTTGTCATTATTAGGTATTATTTAAGCCTAAATTCAGCCAGAATAAAAAAAAATAAAAAATCAGCACAATGGACATAAGTTACAATCAATGGATGTGTCCCATGTGCTGATGCCTTTTCTGTTCAGTCAAATCCTCCTCCAACCATGCCCCCCCCCCCCATCCACTGCAAACTTCCAGTGTGGCAGGTGTTATTAGAACTGTGGTAGCAGTCACAGACGCATTAAGAGTGCCTGGCTATGCCAGCCCTTTCAGACCAGCTTCTCCATTCATAGAATCCGTACTGCAGCTTCTGTTTATGGAAAAGGATCCATGGATGAAGGACAAGCGGATAATTGAAAGGTCCATGGATATATTATATAGATGCGCATGTGCAACATATTGCGGGCCAAGGTAAGAAGATCCACCCTCTATCAGTTGCTATGTGTATGAGCTGGAGAAATAGATCTATTAGAGGTGTTGGAGAAGGGAGTTTTCTATTTTCCAAGTGTTTCCCTTATTTTCCAGTTGTTGAATACAATTTAAAGATTGATTGATAGGAGTAACAGGGATTTCTGTTCTGGACCTATCTGTGGTAACTATATGCAAAGGGAGCTAATTGGAGCCAGGAGTGAGCCAACCTTGACTCCAATCAGTGTGTTGATATTGGATGTGTTGCTGACAGCTGCCCTGCCCTTAAAAAAATCACACACCTGTTTTGGGTTTACTGGTTTCAAGAAGCACGGTCTGATGTGAACCATGCCTTGCAGAAAAGAGCTCTCAGAAGACCTACGATCAAGAATTGTTGACTTGCATGAAGCTGGAAAGGGTTACAAAAGTATCTCCAAAAGCCTTGATGTTCATGTGTCCACGGTAAGACAGACTGTCTACAAATTGCATGTTATGTGCAATTAAACCATGGCAAAATCTAATGTTTGTGTAGTATTATGTTCAGCAGACTGTGTTCTTCTATTGTTGGGACTTGGATGACGTTCAGAGCACATTTTATGCCCAATTTATGCAAACTCCATGTAATCCCAAGGGGTTCACATACTTTTTCTTGCAACTGTACAATTGAGTCATGCAATAAGCTCCCAGGAGAGCATGACACCTCAGTAATATAGCATGTTGATTTGTCTAAGCGTACAAAGGGTATTATTTCTTCTGTATACAACGTACTAGAACATGCCAAACTGAGCCCCCCCAAGATGTATAAGCATTATGTGTCAGCAAAAGTTTCTCCCCCACCCCTAAAAAAATCAAGCACTAATCTGAATTCTTACCCCTTAAGCATAAAATTCTCTTGGAAAATCAAAAATATCCCTTCCTCCCAGGGTTTCAAATCCCTGGGGGGGAGGGGAGAGAGAAAGAGAGAGAGAGAAAGAAACTCCAAATTCTACTTTGAGAACAGGAGACAATGGTGAAAATAGCTGCACAATATGTGACCCTTCCCCCATCCCCCTCTATATTACCCCTTCCCCTCCTCCTGAGAGAGAGAGAGAGAGAGAGAGAGAGGGAGGGGGGGAGAGAGAAAAAAAGAGAAAGGGCCGCACATTTGCGTGCACTCGGCGTAAACAGGTTAAGCAACTATTATTTGAATGAGACTTATTGATACATTAGATCAGTGGTTCTTAACCTGGGTTTGATCGAACCCCAGGGCTTCGGTGAGTCAGTCTCACGGGTTCGGCGGAGGTGAAGACCCACACCCGACTCATATGATTCGTGCAGTAAATATTCATTATTATGTTTTTGTGTGAAAATCATGTTTTAATGGTTTTGTTCTTCGTTCTTAACGGTTTTGTTCATTTTGTGCACCTATGTATAAATATATACCTAAATATATACCTATATTTTGAATTTTAAAAATCATATTTTATTTTTCCAATTAAGAAGGGTTCGGTGAATGCGCATATGAAACTGGTGGGGTTCAGTACCTCCAACAAGGTTAAGAACCACTGCATTAGATATTAGTTGTATTTTCTGGTGTTGTTCATTTATTTATCTTTTGCACTTTTACTTATGGCAAACTGTTTAGTTATCTTGATTCACATTTTTGGCAGCAAGGTCTATATACACACACATTTATAACATTCACCCCTTTGGACCGAAGGTGTACACGAATTTGAATCTCCAGTCTGATCTGGTTTGTGAAAAAAAAAAATGGAAGGGGATCTGTCCCCCTCTGTCTAGATGTAAATGGACAGTGGAGTCTGTTTACACCTGGCCACCCATACAGCAAAGTTGACTGTATCCAGAGTAGACACAGACAAACTGAGCAGACACAGACTAGTCACCTGCCGATCTGTTCTGATCAGCAGTGGGACAAGGTATAAATCCCCTGCTATGAAAATTGGAGCCCGCCCCGTGTTAAAGGGGCCTTATGTGAACACTATCTCAGCTGCAAAGAGGCCATATCATCAAAATGCCACTTGCATGTTGTAAGGGTTTAACTTGTAAAACCAAAAAAAGGCATCTGGGGAAGAAAAATAAACCTGACTGGTTGCAGCAACACATTTTTTTCTATGAATACTGCTATAAATTACACATTTTAGGCACACTGACACATGGTGTGTTTTTGTTCTTTTAAAAAGAAACATTATACATTGTATCAATAATTGCTGCATCCTTACCGCTCGGTCTAGAAAAAATAATATCTGTAGATTCCTGTGCCTCTGGTCCTCCCTGTAAGTATCTTTCTTTCACCTCTTCTGAGGTCAGACTGCATCTGAGAAGTGACATTTCATGTCAGTTGAGAAGAATAAGTGATAGCTGAAATCACAATGGACTATCCATGATGTGCTTACCTTACATAGAATTCTGCACTTGGTCGCCCTGCACTTGTATGGTTACGGGCAATGCCAAGTAGAAGAGAGGTTCACTTAATGTAGATAAAGGTAAATTAACCTAATAAAAAGAATATTTTTAATAGATTATACAAAATAAAACATTTATTCTGTTACATATTAACATGTTCATTGTTATATCCATCTACTACAGCAATTCACCGATTTCTGGGTGTCAGGAGTTGACATCTTGTGGCCATAGTGAGTACTACAGCTACGATTGTGACTGTAAGGCTCTGTTCACATACAGGTGTTTTGAGTCAAGGGCGGAATTGCCATGATTCTGCCCACAATTTCAAAACACGCTGTTAAAATGGGAAATTGCACATCAGTGTGTTCAGGTGCCATTAATTTCAATGGCACCTAAAAACGTGGGGCGATTCTGCCGCGATTGTCACGATGCAATCGTATAAACCAAATCTTGCGACGTGTGCAGCCATGTGTCAGACAATGTGCGATTTGTCGCGTGACAATCGTCCCTTGTTTTTAGGTGCCATTAAAATGAATAGTATCTGAACTTAATGTGCAATTTTACATTTTAACAGCGCGTGGGCAGAAACGCGGCAATTCCTCCCATGATTCAAAACGCCTATACAGTGGGGCAAAAAAGTATTTAGTCAGCCACCAATTGTGCAAGTTCTCCCACTTAAAAAGATGAGAGAGGCCTGTAATTGGCATCATAGGTAGACCTCAACTATGAGAGACAAAATGAGAAAAAAAAATCCAGACAATCACATTGGCTGATTTGGAAAGAATTTATTTGCAAATTATGGTGGAAAATAAGTATTTGGTCACCTACAAACAAGCAAGATTTCTGGTTCTCACAGACCTGTACCTTATTCTTTAAGAGGCTCCTCTGTCCTGCACTCATTACCTGTATCAATGGCACCTGTTTGAACTTGTTATCAGTATAAAAGACACCTGTCCACAACCTCAAACAGTCACACTCCAAACTCCACTATGGTGAAGACCAAAGAGCTGTCAATGGACACCAGAAACAAAATTGTAGACCTGCACCAGGCTGGGAAGACTGAATCTGCAATAGGCAAGCAGCTTGGTGTGAACAAATCAACTGTGGGAGCAATAATTAGAAAATGGAAGACATACAAGACCACTGATAATCTCCCTCGATCTGTGGCTCCACGCAAGATCTCACCCCGTGGGGTCAAAATGATCACAAGATTGGGGAGCAAAATTCCCAGGACCACACGGGGAGACCTAGTGAATGACCTGCAGAGAGTTGGGACCAACTTAACAAAGGCTACCATCAGTAACACACTACGCCGCCAGGGACTCAGATCCTGCAGTGCCAGACGTGTCCCCCTGCTTAAGCCAGAACAGGTCCGGGCCCGTCTGAAGTTTGCTAGAGAGCATTTGGATGATCCAGAAGAGGATTGGGAGAATGTCATATGGTCATATGAAACCAAAATAGAACTGTTTGGTAGAAACACAACTCGTCATGTTTCTGAGAATGCCGAGTTGCATCCAAAGAACACCATACCTACTGTGAAGCATGGGGGGTGGCAACATCATGCTTTGGGGCTGTTTCTCCGCAAAAGGACCAGGACGACTGATCCATGTACAGGACAGAATGAATGGGGCCATGTATCGTGAGATTTTGAGCGCAAACCTCCTTCCATCAGCAAGGGCATTGAAGATGAAACGTGGCTGGGTCTTCCAACATGACAATGATCCCAAACATACCGCCCGGGCAACGAAGGAGTAGCTTCGTAAGAAGCATTTCAAGGTCCTGGAGTGGCCTAGCCAGTCTCTAGATCTCAACCCCATAGAAAACCTTTGGAGGGAGTTGAAAGTCCGTGTTGCCCAGCGACAGCCCCAAAACATCACTGCTCTAGAGGAGATCTGCATGGAGGAATGGGCCAACATACCAGCAACAGTGTGTGCCAACCTTGTGAAGACTTACAGGAAACGTCTGACCTCTGTCATTGCCAACAAAGGATATATAACAAAGTATTGAGATGAACTTTTGATATTGACCAAATACTTATTTTCCACCATAATTTGCAAATAAATTCTTTCCAAATCAGCCAATGTGATTGTCTGGATTTTTTTTCTCATTTTGTCTTTCATAGTTGAGGTCTACCTATGATGCCAATTACAGGCCTCTCTCATCTTTGTAAGTGGGAGAACTTGCACAATTGGTGGCTGACTAAATACTTTTTTGCCCCACTGTATGTGAACAGAGCCTAGAAGCAAATCTCACAGGGTATGTTTATTAACTGTAGTGAGTACAAACAGTTCAAAGAAAAGATGTGCAAGATTATGAGAAGTTTATAAACCTAGAACACCAGCAGAGCAAAGCTGATAAGGAAATACACTGCTCAAAAAAATTTAAGTGTTTCTTTTATCAGAGTATAGCATCAAGCCAGTTAAACTCCTGGGATATTGATCTGGTCAGTTAAGTAGCAGAGGGGGTTGTTAATCAGTTTCAGCTACTTTGGTGTTAATGAAATTAACAACAGGTACACTAGATGGGAAACAATGAGACAACCCCCAAAACAGGTTTTACAGGTGGGAGGCCACTGACATTTTTGTTCCCTACTCATCTTTTCTGACTGTATTTCACTAGTTTTGCATGTGGCTAGGGTCAGTGTCACTACTAGTAGCATGAGGACTGACATCTAGACTACAGAGGTTGTACAGACAGTACAACTCCTCCAGGATGGCACATCAATACATGCCATTGCCAGAAGGTTTGCTGTGTCTCCCAGCACAGTCTCAAGAGCATGGAGGAGTTTCCAGGAGACAGGCAGTTACTTTAGGAGAGGTGGACAGGGCTGTAGAAGGTCCTTAACCCATCAGCAGGACTGGGATCTGCTCCTTGCGCAAGGAGGAACAGGATGAGCACTGCCAGAGCCCTACAAAATGACCTCCAGCAGGCCACTGGTGTGAATGTCTCTGACGCCATACCAGCATCCTAATCACCGCCATAACCAACACCAGAATCCTGATCACTGCCATACTCCATATCAGTGTCTGGCATTTTATAACAAAAACTAAAAGGGAAAAAATATGTTTTCAAAATGTATTAATTTTTTCATTTATAGAGCAAAAATAATAAAACCTAGTGGTGATTAAATACCACCGAAAGAAAGTCTGTCTCAAAAAATTATACAAATTTCATATGGGTACAGTTTTGCATGACTGAGTAATTGTCACTCAAACCATGACAGCGCTAAAAGCTGAAAATTGGCCTGGACTGAAAGGGGGTGAAAGTGTTCGGAATTGAAGTGGTCAATTTAGGATTAACAGCAGAAGACTGCGACTCCTCAGGGGTAAACTCATAAGTCAAGGATTTGAATGACTCAGAATCAGACAGACAGTCTCTGTGGCTGATGGCTCAAAAGCTGCTAAGGCCACAGATAAATCAGATACAGAATTTGCTGGAGAGTACATTTGTGGTATCTGTGATTCAAGTGAGAAAGCAATTGGTAATTTAGATAATTAAAGTCTTGCATATCTACATAAAACATTAGCTGAAAGAGCAGAGGACCCAACCACATCCAATTGACCTAAAGAGTACTCCAAGAACAAGAGAGAATATAACAGCAGGGGATAGAATGACTCCATGCTGCAGATTTTAGCATCAGTAGGAGCACTGCAAGGAGCCCATGACCCGTAAGTGGAAAGTGAGCACCCGTTACAGTGGGACTCTATCAGCCTCCATTCTATCCATGAACCAGCAAACACAATTGCTCCTGCGCTTGGGGATGGACTCGATGCAGGCTGCAACCACATTAAGAATGTCCTGGAACATGCACACCTTACTGCCCTCAACAGACCGGGGGAATCCAAATATACTGAATGAGGAAAGAACAAAGAGAGGGCGCACAGGCCTAGTGCATTACCATAAATAAATGTTTAATAAGAAATAAAGTAGGTGTTGTACTCACAAACGACAATAAAGTCAAGGCATATCATAAAAGAACAGCTGGGTCAACACCGCGCTGACTAACAGTCCATAATGGGGAATGTAGACATCCAATAGGCTGACGCGTTTCGAGGACTTGCATCTTCCTCAGAGCCCAGGGCTGTGCGCCCTCTCTTTGTTCTTTCCTCATCCATTTTATCCATACCTATATCCAGAATCAGCCATGTTGCAGCCATGGTGCGGTAGGGAAAAGTACCATATATGCCCAGGGTAACAGGCAAGGCTTCAAGTACTTATGAAACCAGTTGGTAGCAGATGAGGATCAGTTGGCCAGAGGCAACAATAGTTGCTGTAAGCAAGCAGCTTGGAAGGATCAAAAGACTGAAAGGTCCACATGGCTCTTTGCAGCAGGATCAGAAGCAGGGAGATGCTTCCTAGACGCTGAACAGGCATGCAACACTCCACCCAGCGGATGACATCAGCACTCCATACAGTACCATAGTGTTAAACCCTTCAGAGGCAAAATAATGGCAGGAAGGCAAAATGGTAGTAAATAATGGTCCAGTGATGGATGGAAATAAGATAACTCTTGTCCTGACTTTGAAGACTCACTCAGTGAGTATGCTGGTTAGTTTGAGTACCATGAGCTAATACAATTCCTGTGGCTCTAACCCTGGAAAGTGTTTCACAGCTAACTTTCACCAGAATGGAGTCTGGAAAGTGCCTTGAACTGAACCCAGTGCCTAAAGGTCATTTCCAGGCTATCCCTACAACCTCCAGTCCAGCGGAGTCCGGATGTGGTACTATAAAAGCCAGACTGTGGACAACTGCGCTTGAAAACTGCAGAGCAGAGGGGAAAACTTCAGCAGCAGTGTAGAGAAAAGAGTCTTGATGGAGAAGGACACTAGCACAAAACTTCTGAAGGTAGCAGTGTAATCCAAAAGTTGGTGAGTCCCTCACCAGACAAAAAAAAAAAAAAAAAAGGAAGGAGTGCAAATATTGTGCAACAAAAAATTTCAACTAGCAATTTTAGATTCTAGAGACCTTCTGCTTTCAGAAAATATAGAACGTTTGGGAGTTTTAAGTAATTTTCATGCCTAAAATGCACATTAACCATGTGTTTGAAAAATGTAAAAATTAGTCTAGCAGCTAAAGGGTTTAATATCAACTTCAAACCCAAACTAATTTTATAAAGCTGAAGTTTACTTTTGGCAATCTTTACATTGTTATATTGGTCCAGCTTGGCTCAGTGTAAGTATGTATCATTATATTAAAAAATCACCAGGGCGAAAACCGTGCAATTAAATACTAAATAAATAAAATGCTGCTGCTCATTAGTGTAAACACCAAAAAATAATATAAAACATCAAAAACAGCGCAAATATATAAATATACACTCCAGTGAAAAAATAAATAATGATTAATAAAAAAAATATATAAAAAAATAAAAAATTAGTAAGTCCCAGTCCAAATCAATTAAGTGAAAAATAAACATAAAAAACATATTCATAAAAATCCTTTTTCCAAAAATCTTTTTGACCAGTGTTTCCACCGAGATAGTGATTATACTTTTTAAGAATGTGAGTGGTTTGGAACTTGGAAATTGATTCTGTCCAAGTATTTGCAGTATTACACTATATATTTGTTTTTTTTCCCCTGCAATATTCAAAACTTTTTCTTGTAGCGTGGTGTCTGGTGACCCTGGAGGCTGGCTATATTCCTGTCTGGAGTAGGGGAGATCTAATAATATCTGGTGTTTTGGAGGCTTATTTACTGGGTCTAGGATACCAAAAAAAACCTAAAAAGGTGTTTTTTTCCACCAATATCTGGTGAGTGTGGTGTGTTATTTAAAGTTTTTTGGAAAAAGGACCTTTATGAATATGTTTTTTATGTTTATTTTTCACTTTATTGATTTGGAGTGGGACTTACTAATTTTTTTATATATTGTTTATCAATTTTTATTTAATTTTTCACTGGAGTGTATATTTATTTATATATTTGCGCTGTTTTTGATGTTTTATAAGTATGTATGTATCATACCTGTGAAATCTCCATGGGAGCTAGAAATCACTGTACTAGGCAACGCTATTAAAGTGATTGCCGCTAGCTTTTGCTTCCCATGCCAAGCAGCTGCCCTGTTGCTTACACAGGAGGTCACTCACTCAGCTTTGGTGCTATTCAGAGAACACTTTGTATTTTCTTAACAAAAGCAATGTATTCGCTGATAGGATGAGATGGAGATTGTTACAGCACCGTGCCACCTCTGCACCTCCTCCAATCAGAGAACGCTTTGCATCCATTGAGAAAATGCTAAGTGCTCCCTGAATGGCTCCTGAGCCAAACAAATTGCCTCCTGCAATCACAATGCAGCAGGGCAGATGCTTCACAAAGGATCCAGAACCCAGTGGAGATCACTATAACAGCAGTGCCTACTACAGTGATTTCCAGCTTTCTTTTTATCCAAAGTCCCTTTTTTCACACCTTCCAGCAGCCTAAAAGGATATGACTGCACCACGATACAATTTGTACGGTTTCTGTAAGTATCTCTTTTCTGGGTAGGTATAATTGTGGCTATTGCTGTTATATCGGCCTCAGCTCCATTGTTTACTAGTTGATTTCAGGCTTCCACAGGTATGGCATTTATAAACTTTCACTGGGCCAAGTTGGACCATTGTAAAGAAGTAAAGGTTGCCATACCTAAACTTTAGCTTTAAGTTTGGACAGATTTGGGAAGGGTTACTACCTCCTAAGGTATTTTTCTGCACTATATGTCCAAGTTGGGGACTTTGAAAAGCTGTGTTCAGTTGTTTTCCACTCCAATTTTTTTGATGGATGGGTTGAAATCAATAAATGTTTACGGCTGGATGCTGATTAAAAGCAACAACTTTATCAAGTGTATGTGGCAGCACTGCATGTCAATTACCTCATCCCGTATTTCAGCCAGGATAGATGAGAAAAGCTCTCTGATAACCAGTTCAGGCTCAAAACATCCAAACTAAGTTCTTCCTCAGGAACATTGGGAGCAACAGCCTATTGAGAATGAACAAAAGAAAAACAAACTTAAAAGCCAAACTCAACTTTCAGTTTGTCAGATAAATATAATCATGGTGCATAAAAAAAAAAAAAGTATTCACAGTTCTGAAAGCAGTCACAGACTGGGTAGAAAAGCCTGTCCCCTGCCAGCATTCTCCAGATCAGTGTTTCTCAACCTTTTTTTCAGTCAAGGCACCCTTTAAAATTATGGACAGTCCCGAGGCACCCTTTAACATTATAGATAGCCTTGAGGCACCCCATTCTAAAACAGGGTGCCTCTAGACTGTCCATAATTTTAAAAGGGCACCCCATTCTAAAATGTGAAAAACATTTCTAATAGTTTTACATAACGCAGCAACATCCACACATGTAGGACACCCAACATTGGAGGGGATTTATTCTTCCAAAGCAAATACACTTTTGCACACTGGCACTGACTAGTATTCCAATGTTTCTCTTCTCCCTCAGTTTTTCTCCATCACTGAGCTAATGTGACCCAAGGACCGATAGAGAGTGGCAGGGGAGGGTCAAACTAGGATGCTGTGCAGGCAGCTGTTATCCTCATCAACTTATGATGTCATTGGTTGTCAGGACGCCGGCGATTAGAAGGTCATAATGGTGCACAATGAAAACCTGTGGCTTTTGTAACTAAAAGGCAGGCTGATCCACCCGCTGGCTTGTATACAAGTTTTGGGCAATTTTTAGACATTTTTCCAAGGCACCCCTGAAGAAACCTCAAGGCACCCTGGTTGAGAAAGGCTGCTCCAGACAATGATACTTGGTCTGTGTGTGTGTGAAAGAGAGGTATCTCTGCAGAGGTCCGATATACCTTCTGAGAATAGTTAATGGCATAAATAAAGATATGTTGGTGGATCACTGGTTCAGGATTTTGTTAGAGATATATATAAAAAAACATCACACACACACACACCACACACACACACACACACACACACACACACACACACACACACTTGCCAAAAGTATTAGAACGCTTGCCTTTACACGCACATGAACTTTAACCACCTCCCGCCTGCCATATAAGGAAATGACGGGCGCAAGGTGGTTCTCTCGTTCTGGGAGGATGTCATATGACGTCTTCCCATTCTAACCGCGCATGCGCGGCTCCGGGAGCGCTGCGATTGGCGGTGCGCTGTGTCCCTCGGATACAGCGGATCACCGATCAACAGAAAGAGCCAAAGATTTTGGCTCGGTCATGTGATCATCTGTGTCCAATCACAGCTGATCTCATGTAAATAGGGAAATGCCGGTTATCGGCATTTCTCTCCTCATGAGCTGTCACCATGACAGCTCGAAAGGAGAGGAGAGCCGGTAATCGGCATTTCTTGGAGGGGACATGTACACTGATCATCAGGGCACTGATGATCAGTGTCCCCTGATGATCAGTGTAGGCCTAGCAGTGCCACCTGTCAGTGTCCATCAATGCCAGCTGTCAGTGCTCATCAGTGCCACCTGCCAGTGTCCATCAGTGCCACATCAATGCCAAATATCAGTGCCTACCAGTGCACATCAATGCCACATATCAGTGCTCATTTGAGCTGCCTTTCAGTTATCATTGCCACCTATCAATGCCAGTCAGTGCCACCTATCAGTGCCAGTGCCACCTATCAGTGCCAGTCAGTGCCACCTATCAGTGCCAGTCAGTGCCACCTAACAGTGCCATATATGAGTGCTGCCTTTCAGTGCCCATCAGTGATGCCTGTCAATGCCCATCAGTGCCACCTATCACTGCCCATCACTGCAACCCCATATCAGTGAAAGGAGAAAAATCACTTATTTACAAAATTTTAAAACAAAAACTAAGGAAAAAACTCTTTTCAAAATTTTCAGTTGTTTTTGGTTTGTTTAGCAAAAAATAAAAAACCCAGAGGTGATTAAATACCACCAAAAGAAAGCTCTGTCTCAAAAAAATGATAAAAATTTCATATGGGTACAGTGTTGCATGACCGTGCAATTGTCAAAGTGCAACAGCACTGAAAGCTTAAAATTGGCCTCAGCAGGAAGGGTGTATAAGTGGTGCCCTGTAGGCAAGTGGTTAACGGCATCCCAGTCTTATACAGGCCATGCATGGGTCGATTTCTGAACCTATTTTCTTTAGAAAATCGGACATTTTGTGCGTTTTGCAATCTGATGGTGCAACCATTGGATTTCGAATTCATTCAACCCGCCAAGCCTTCAATTTCACCTCATGTTGCTACAGAAAATAATTTCCGTGGCCAAGAATTTTCATTCCTTTCCAGGCCACAGCTCACACTATTTTTGTTTTTTAATTCCATTTCTCGCACGATTCTCCCATCATTGATTAGACATTTGTTCATTTTTTTTTAAAATTTCCAACATGCCTCATCATGCAAATTCCATGGTCGTTCGAAAATCGGCCATTGCTGTGACCTACTAATGGTAAGAAATTCGAATGAATATTCTTTTGAAAATAGTTTCGAAAGAAAATTATTTCGGAATTCGACCCATGTATGGCTGGCTTTACTCCGTAGGGTTCATTATTGAGTTGGCCCCACCCTCTGCAGCTATAGCAGCTTCAACTCTTCTAGGAACGCTGTCCACAAGGTTAAGAGTGTATCTATGGGAATGTTTGACCATTCTTCCAGAAGCGCATTTGTGAGGTCAGGCACTGATGTCGGACGAGAAGGCCTGGCTCACAGTCTACGCTGTAATTAATCCCAAAGCTGTTCTATTGGGTTGAGGCCAGTCAAGTTCCTCCACCCCAAACTCGCTCATCCATGTCTTTATGAACCTTGCTTTGTTTACTGGTGCTCAGTCATGTTGAAACAGAAAGGGGCCATGCCCAAATTATCCCCACAAAATTGGGAGCATGAAATTGTCCAAAATGTCTTGGTGTGCTGACGCCTTAAGTGTTCCCTTCACTGGAACTAGGGGCCAAGCCCAACCCCTGAAAAACAACCCCACACCATAACTCCCCCTCCACCAAACTTTACACTTGGCACAATGCACTCAGGCAAGTACCGTTCTCTTGGCAACCGCCAAACCCAGACACGTCCATCGGATTGCCAGACAGAGAAGCATGATTGGTCACTCCAATTAACATGTCTCCACTGCTCTAGAGTCCAGTGGCGGCGTGCTTTACACCACTGCATCCGACGCTTTGCATTGCACTTGGTGATGTAAACCTTGGATGCAGCTGCTTGGCCATGGAAACCCATTCCATGAAGCTCTCTACGCACTGTTGTTGTGTTAATCTGAAGGCCACTTGAAGTTTGGAGGTCTTTAGCTATTGACTCTGCAGACAGTTGACGACTTCTGCGCACTGTGCGCTTCAGCATGTGCTGACCCCGCTGTAGTATATTGTGTGTAATATATATATATATTGAAGACATTGAAACACATACTGACAGGCCAGTGATAAAACCACTTTACACACCAAAAGGACACCTTACTATGTTAATGTATGCAGGAGGTAATTACCTTACCTTTGTTGTGTGGGGTTAACCTGTTTTGGGTAAATATATGGAGTGTTAGGGGAAGTTTAAGAACAGGTTAGTTGCAAATAGATTGGGAAAAGTCTTAAAAATATTCATGATGTGCTTGTTTTATGGTGAAGAGAGAAGATTTGCCATAAACAAGACAAGTAGTATCTGTTTAACTTTTTAATTAAAAGCTATGCATACAGCTATTCTAAGTCTAGACACATAAGATCAAACATGCTAATAAAAGTGGCCAATCAGACTGCTTGCCATTGTACTGAATGGGGAAAACGTGTATATTAACACAGGACACAGAACACAGGATGAAATACAAAGATAGCAGAGCACATGCAAGGATACGTGGGCAGAGCATAAGGGGGTATACTTGGGATAGAGCACAGGTCAGGATACATGGGACAGAATACAGGTTGCATGGAAGCTACCTAGTTTGCATATTATAGATTGGACATATGCTGGATGGTGTAGTATCTCTATGCTTGATATGAGGTATCTTGAATAGGACTTTGAGAGCTGTTGTTCGTTGTAACATTTACAAGTATTCAACTGAATTTCTATCATCTGTAACAAATATCTTTATCCAAATAAATGCATCTCTCTGGAAAAGGACTATTGGTTGCTGCGGGAATAGTACATATATAAATACACACTGGTTATACGTCCTCCATTATTGATATAAGACAACAGATTTGTCTTATGAATTGTTTCTGTGTGGACTTCATTATTTTAAGACAACACCCGCTCTGTCATTTTATGTGGCCTACCACTTTGTGGCTAAGTTTTAGCCACAAACTAGCCACAAAGTGGTAGGCCACTTGTGGTAAGGCCAGTTTGTGGCTAAGTTTTTCCTTTGTGGGAGGTGATAGCAATACCTAAATCCAATGATTTGAAGGGGTGTCCCAATACATTTGGTAATATATGAAAATCGACCAGAGTCCTGATGTACAGTCAGTCTATCTCATTTCTTGAGGCCCTAAAATGCCAGGACAGTACAAATATCCCCCAAATGACCCTTTTTGAAAGTTAGAAAGTCCAAGGTATTTAGTAAAAAGGCATGGCGAGTTTTTTCAAGTTTTTTTTGCACAATTTTTTTTCAAAATAAAGAAATGAAAACAGATTTTTTTTTTTTACATACTGTCATCAGTGCAGTACGGCATCATCATATAACTGGTGTGGCGGTGAGCATCCAATATTTCTGAATGAAAACTATTCATTCAGTGTTACTATTGTGATTAGCCACAGCTAAATCACATGGTACAGATGGGCTGTGATTGGCCCTGTCTGTACCATGTGATCACCGTGACCAATCACATAGCTCATCACAATATTACACAAAGAATCAGAGCCTTTCATGGTGTACAATTGTCATGTGATCTGCTGTGATTGGCCACAGTGATCACATGGTTTCCTTCTGCTCCCATGTGACAGTGTTGGGCAACTTACAGCTCAGGCACCCAAAGTGGTTTCGGAGGAAGGGGGAGTATTACAAGCATGAACAGAAATACAATGTACAGTGTTTTTTTTTTTTGGCTCCCATGGCAATTTGAGATAGTGAAGTAGTGTGATGAAGGGACCTGGAGGCAGCTTATGGAGCCTGCCATGCAATGAACCAGCCACTTTTTCCTAGTATGCCCACAGTACACACTCGTTTTTACGCATTTCTATGTTTATATGCATTTGAAAGAAAACTCCACCAAAATTTTGGGTGGCCATCAGTGTTATGCAGGCACTAAGAAGAACCCATAAGAGAAGTATGACACTATAAGGCTGATTTACTAAAGGATTTGAGAATGTGCACACGAATTGTGTGAATATTTACTTCAGTTGTCCAATCGTGCACATCAAAAAAGGGTTTTCACATTATTGAATAAATTAAAATAAATCTTAAAGTGAAAATAAAGCTTTGTTTTGTTTTTTTATGTCATTAAAACAACAAACATGTTATACTTACCTGCTCTTTGTAATGGTTTTGCACAGAGCAGCCCCGATCCTCCTCTTGGGTTCCCTCGCTGGCGTTCCTGGCTCCTCCCCTCCGCTGAGTGCCCACCATAAGAAGCCACTTTCTATGGGGGCACTCGCACAGGCGAGATTCCGAGCTGAGCGGTTTGCATCTATTCAGACACACAGCCTCGCTTGGTCCTGCCCCCCCACTCTCTGCTCACAGCTTTTGATTGGCAGCATCAGGAGCCAATGGCTCCTGCTACTCTCAGCTAAACCTGGAAGAGCAGGGAGAGGGGAGAAGAGCTGCTGTGGGTGTGCACAGCACTGGACTGAGATCAGACTTCGGTGAGTAATTGGGGGGGCTGCATGTAAAAGGTTTTTTACCTTATAATCAAGGTTTTAATATGTCGTGAAAAACAATGATTTCTGGTCTATATACAGTACCTGTTTTTCCAATTACTGTATAAGTTGGTTATGTATGTAGAATTTTTCAAAATGTTTGTGGCCTTAGGGCCAGGGAGATATGGATGTGGAGTGGGGTTTTTTTGGTCCCCCCTGTCTCATTAATTTACACCAGGTGTTTGCTATCTTGTGCACAGTATCAGTGGCTGTGCGGTTATATTTGTTCCCCTTTTTTGAATGGAGATTTGGTTGCTTGGCAACCTAGGAACAAAGACACGTGCCAGTGCTGACTGTGCCTGACCAGAAGTGACATCACAACGTCGCGTATACGCCGGAAGGGTTTACTATTTGTTATCTAGCTGTGATTGTTGGCTTTGGTATAGTAACTTTTTATATACAGTGCTCAGCATAAATGAGTATTACCCTTTGATTTTGTTGTCTAAAATTTAGCTTTGCTCCTAAGACTTTCACTGGGGTGTATTCATTTTTGCAGCATTGAATTAATGATTTTTTTTAGGAAAAATACTTTGTGTGTGCAAATTAACAAATCTTGTTTGCAATCAATGGCCCGCATTTGTGGGAGTATTTTGTAGCATCCCATAGAAAATGAGTGTCCCATAGAAAATGTTGATTCTGAAAGGAAAGTAAAAAAGTTTTCTGACAAATCTGTTGGGGTGTACTCATTTATGCTGAGCACTGTATTTGTTCATGTTTTAGCTGGTCTTCCTATACATCTTGAAGGTTCTTGCAATAGTTCTGATATATGATGGATGGCCTTTTGTCTTTTTTCAGCAGCCAGACTAACTATGTAACTATGATCCTGAGATTATTATTATTATTACTATACAGGATTTATATAGAGCCAACAGTTTGCTCAGCGCTTTACAATATAAC